TTGAAGTTCCATAAAGTCATTTTTAGTTTGTCTAACCCTGTTCTTTATTTTAGTATTCAGAAAGTAGTCCAAATAAATATTTACATTGCTTAAGCTTTAAATTTTTTTCTTCTAAGCATAGTGTTATTTGAGCAATGGTTTTTGATGATAGCCATGTTCTTGGTGATTTTATTGAGCTAATACTTGGCTTGCAAGCTTTAAATAATTTAGAATGCATTAAAGATCTTCGATGTTGTCTGCATATGTGAACCTACGGCCGTACCGTCATGTTCGAGGTTGTTGTTAATATGTATATCTTTATCTTTAATCCGTCTTTGGAAATCTGACTTTAGATAAAGTAGATACCCTTACATAATTACATTTTTTTCTTTGTTTCGTGGGGATTTTCTTATACAATAGCTTTCATTATGTGAATCGATTCATGTTTCCTGGTTTTAGTAGAAATTGTCGATATTTCACACATCGTTAAGATAAAGCAACCTGTTCTTGAAGGTGTTTTACATATTATATAAATTATGTATAGCTGCTTTATAAAAAATTACTTCTATATATTTTTTCGTGTAACGACAGGCATTTAATACTGTTTAAAAATAGTGTCACCATCTCAGAGATAACAAGATATTTCCAAGTTTAATTTTAGATATCTCGAAATACATTTACTTCACTCTCAATTTCATTTCCTCGCAATAGTCCATTCAATTACAGGTTAGTCTGTATTTCCGGTGCTGTTTGTGGGCGACGACTAAATACCAAATACCACATATTTATAAGTTAGGTTACTGTCTGGTTGTCCTTCGATTTTTATCATGGTTCCAAAATAATCTTATCGTTTTTAACAGTTCCGTTTGAAGCAACGTCATTTTATAGTTTCGCTGGTAGAATTTAATATATCCCTGCGGATTTTAGAATTATGTTCTAGGTGTCCAAAAAAGCACGTAATAATTATTTACTGGGTGTGTGCTAAAGAAAGAGACAACTCGTTTTATATTTGGGCAATATTTAAAAAAAAAAATTATGAAGGTTGGCAGCTGCAGTTTAAAATTTTCATTCAAAATGTGCAGCGTGCCTTGGTAAAGTCGAGGATATTTACCCTACATCAACACTACTTAGCATAAATTCCGTCAAAATTTATAAAAATCGGAATCTGATTATTTACGTCATTGAAATATCATAAACACTATTCTTCTTCTTAGAGTGTCGTGTCCCTACGGAGGTTGGCAATCATAATGGCTATTTTTATTTTAGAACTTGCTGCTCTAAACAAATCAATCGATCTGCATTGATACCAATCACGTAGATTCTTTAACCATGAGTTCTGCCTTCGGCCAACAGATCTTCTTCCTTGAATCTTTCCCTGTATTATAGTCTCAAAATTTCATATTTTGGTCCCCTCATCACGTGGCCTAGGTATTCCAGTTTTCTGGTTTGTATAGTGGTGATTAGTTCTGTTTCTTTACCAACCCTCTCCAGTACTTCTTTATTTGTAATTCTATCAGTCCATGATATTTTTAATACTCTGCGGTATAACCAGAGTTCGAAAGCCTCGATTCTTTTTAAATTACATTTTTTTAATGTCCAAGTCTCAGCTCCATATAATAATATTGAAAATATATAACAGCGAATGGTACGTAGTCTGATCTCCAAATTTAGATTTTTGCACGTTAGGAGTGGCTTCATTCGTATAAATGCTGATCTGGCAATCTCTATTCGCCTGTTTATTTCTACAGTATGATCATTGGTTTCATTGATCAAAGTTCCCAAGTACTGATATTTTTCTACTTGTTCTATCACGTTACCATTGATTGTCAATAGGTGATGTATATTTTGTGATCTTTTTGTAATTAGCATGTACTTCGTTTTTTTAGCGTTTATAGTAATTCCCATCTCAGCACTATTCATACTCAAGCTTTCGATAAGATGTTGTAGATCCTCTATACTCGTTGCTATGATCACAGTGTCGTCTGCATATCTTAAGTTGTTAATTAATTTTCCGTTAACGCTGACTCCCGCTTCGATATTATTGAGCGTGTTTTGGAAAATTTCTTCAGAATATAAGTTAAAAAAAGTGGCGATAAAACACATCCCTGTCTAACTCCTCTACAGATCCTCATTTTTTCTGAGCGTTGCCCATCAATTTGAACTATGGCACTTTGGTTCCAATATAATGTTTACACTATATGATTTTACTGTCAATGCGCTTGTTCATAAGTATTGATATTAGTTTTTCATGTCTTACTTTATCAACAGCTTTTTCGTAGTTAACGAAGCACAAGTGATCTAACATTTACATCCCGACATCGCTGAATCAATATGTTGATATCAAATAGTCCTTCTTGAGTACCCATTCCATTTCGGAACCCAAACTGCGTCTCGCTAATACCCTCCTCTAGTCTTTCGTATATTCACTCGTACATAAACACTATGAAGGGCTATATCTGCGGCTTTATTAATTTACTTATTTTATACTTGTAACTTCTGAATATCTTTAAGTTGAGTAACGGGGTTCTTCTTCTTTTGGCATCATAATCCTGGATGGGTCTTTGTCTGTCTGGCTATGTTCTTTCATTCAGATCTCTCTTGTGCCCTTCTTCTCCATTGTCTTATGTTCATTGTTTTCAGGTCATCTTCCACGTCATCCAACCATCTCGTTCTGGGCCTTCCTTTTTTTCGCCTCCCTATGGGCTTCCATTGTAACATTTTCTTTGTTGGTTTTGCATCGTTTTGTCTCTGCACATGTCCCAGCCATGACAGTCTTTGACTTTTCACAAATCTTACAATGTCATAACCTTCATTTAACTCATTAACCTCGTCGTTTCTCCTTATTCTCCATGTGCCATCTTTCTCTTGTACCGGGCCATATACTTTCCTCAGTATTTTTCTCTCGAATGTCCTGAGTTGGGCTTCATCTTTTTTCGTTATTTCCCAAGTTTCACATCCATAGGTTACTACGGGTCTAATCAGTGTTCTGTAGATAGTCATTTTGGTTCTTTTGTCTAATAATTTCGATGTCATCAGTCTTTTATTAGCACAGTATGTACGATTCCCGCTGGAAATACGTGCATTAATTTCGCTACTTACGGAGTTCTTCTGATTGATTTCTGTGCCGAGATATGTAAAGACATCCACTCGTTCGATAGTATAGTTGTCTATTGTGATATTATTTTCATTGTCAGTTATTCTTTTGACTGTCATATACTTCGTTTTGCTTCATTTATTTTGAGACCTCTTTTTTCTTGCTTCAGGATCAATTTGTTTGAAACACTTCCATTAGTCGTGGCTTATTTCTACTAATGATGGCTACATCGTCTGCATATGCAGTAATTTGTACTGATTTGGTGTTTATATGGCCGGTTATATTGGTTTTTCTGATGACTGCCTCATGCCTGAGTAACTAAGGTTGTTTTACCAAAAGTTTTCTTCTTGAATGGTCTTTAACTAATATTATATATCTAATTTTTATCGTGACTTGGTTTACATACCTGATACATTTTCCATAGGTCTCTGTAGTATAATATAATATTTCAAGACATTCAAAGAGATGTCAAACAGTAGGACAGGAAATGAAATTCACTTAAATTAAAATATTACCTGGCAAACGCAAAAGAGTAACTAAGACACATATCTATAAAAAAAACCCATTAAAACACTTAATCTTTTTGACCAGGTGTGTTGCCAGTCGTGATTTATGCTATATATTTCTGCTATTGAAAACTGATATAACATTTGGCGATTAATTAAAATAATTTAAATAACTTACACTACCACAAAACCTAATAAAAAACAGTCAAAATAGTTTAAAAAACTCAAATAAATAATATCCATGGCGAACGAAATGTTAAATTATTTACCTAAAACAACGAAAATGTCAAATTATCATAGCCTCCTAAGATATACTTAAATATTCACATTGTTAAATGGAGAGAAGGTAGTGATAAAATTCATCAACCATATTTCTTGTTTATTTTTGCTTAATTTAGTTTTATACATTGTTTTCACAAATTTAAAAACAAAATACATACATAATGCAGGTTATTTTAAATGTTATTTTTGGTTGTCATTAACTCAAAATTAAAACTGATGATTACTGTAGTTTTTTTTTTTAAGCAAAAGTAAAATAAAATTCTATACAGAGCGATTTGTTTAGTATTATTATTAGTTATTCTTATGAAATGTTTCCTAATAACAAAATAAAACAATTTAAAAAAAAAACTTGATCTTTTTTAGTTTGAATAAAGCAGTTGATCAGGAGGGTTTAACCAAAACATGAGACACATCGAACTTACCAAATTCAAAATTCGCAAAGGTATATTATTAAAAAATTGGAGCAAACACTTTTTAATTGTCATTTATTATTTCCCATTTTTCTACCTTCATACGAGATAGTATATCTATATAGTACAGTTTATGTACAAAAGAGTCTAAAATATCATTTTTTAAGATATTTTTAGACTTATGTACGAATAATTTAAGTTAAAATAATTTCAAATATTTTCTAAAGATTAAATAAGGTGTTAGATAGATATATTTTAAAACTTAAGCGTAATTTCTATTAAATCCATATTTCGATTAATCTTATATCGTAAACACGTAAAAATCACAAGCGTAGCTCTTCATCACGATGTTTTTTGAACATAGTAAACATTGTAAATCATTATCGTAACATTTCCAATTATCTTCTTACTATAGATCTTCAAGACCAGTATGACACGATTTCCCTCTGCGACTTTTTTTGGTTCTGGAGCGTTTTTCCTTTCCTTATAATTTTCCCGAAAATTTTCACCCGTCAGACAGGAAAGTCGAAAAACAAGTTACGTATTAAGTGTTGGATTAATAGATTTAAAAAAATAGATAATTAAGAAATTGTAAGATTTTGTTAAATTAAAAAAAAAACTTAAAAGGGTTATAATAAATCGTATTCTTTTTGTATAATAAAAGAATTTTTTAAGATTACATACTATTCAATATATTCCAGTTATAACACCTACTTTTTTTATTTCCAGGGCGACTTATCCGCATCCAGACAGTCACTTGCAAGTAAAAAGAGTCAAGCACTACCACCATTAGCAAGACAAGATGTTTTGTATGCAGGATCTATAAGAAATCTAAAGGAATTTCAGTCTCAGAAATCCTTGCATGACTTCAGACAAAGTATGCTCAGCATACCAAAACATAAATCCAGATATGGTAAGTATATAAAACAATTATTTTATTCAGTGCAAAACAGATTGCCAAGACCAGATATTAAAATATAATATTACTGATCACATCATGAATTTATTTTTTTTATGCGCTAAACTTGAAATGTTTATTATTATTGCAATAAATCTGTCTTTAGATCTTATGGTTCTGTATAATTATATAACTAAAGATTTTTTTCCTTGGGTATACATTATAGATCTCATACATATATTTTAACTTCTTGAAAAGTAGATTGTAGCTTTAATGCTGAAATGCAAAATGCAAAAAAAGAGGAGTTTTCGATATTTCTCCTTCCCTTCATGTTGTTACTTCAGGTGAAACATAACCTGTTTCTGGCACTTGGCCGTAAAATATTTGTAATAAACCCTGTCTATTCATTAAATACCACTAAGCAGTCCTGTAAAAACCTACGACTTTGTTATAGGCAGTTTAAACAAACTCTACATTTAGTATCTGCTATGCCTATAATTAACTTCTATTCTTAAAATTTAGCCCCGTAATCTTTGTCATCAATACAGATATTTAATCTTTTGGTGCACCTTTTTGCTAGATGATCTTCTTTATATTTCAATTTCGTTTGGACAAGAAATGTCTTATATTTATTAATTCATGAAATTAAGCTAGGTAACAAATTTCCAATAAATACATTATGTTCACTTTGTAACATATCTAACGATAAAGTCAAAGGTTTTATAACTAAACAATATTCCTCTAGGCATAATAGTTCAGTTTACTTAAAAGGTTTATCCACCAAGTGAGATTTTTACTGCTTGTATGAATTCCCCTTTGGTCTTCTGCTTGGGAATGATACTTGTAGGCTTGGTTCATTAGTGTTTCCAGTCTAAATATATATATATATATATATAATATATATATATATATATATATATATTTCTATTATAATTTTTAAAACCATCACAATTGAGCAGGTAATAGAGAAATAAAGTTTCCAGTGCAACCTTTTATTTCTAACTCGTACTATTCGTCGACCTGGATACGCATATATGTACAGCTCTTCATGAGTACACTATGAGTCCTTAATTTTTTTACACAGAGGGGTTTGGCTGGGCACCGAAATTTTTTTATGCTACCTCCACCATAATAACTGTGTCTGAATAGGGTCCTGGGGAGGAGGTTTTGACCCCCAAAACCTCCCTTGGGTGCGCCACTGGACTAGTGTAACCTTTTTTTACATCTTTAAAGAGAAGAAGGAAGTAGTGTTGGGTTCCTAATACGCTAGCGAAGCTGTGCAAGGGCGAGAGGCCCAAGGAGTTTAGACCTTTGACACCTCGTCCCGTCACCACATCTCTCTCGCGTCGTCTGTCTCTCTTTTACCCTTATTTCGGCTTGTGACAGTCTGAACCCTACCAAGGTGCTACTGGCTTGTCTTAGAATTCTGTTGCGAGTTCCCTCTTCTCTCTGATAAATTTGTGGATCCGTGTCCACCACCACTCATCCCTCATCATTTTCTCCAACATTTCTCTCACGGAATCAAACATTCTGCAGTTACACTCTCTTACAAACTTCTCTTTTTCACCCGCCCAACGCTTACAGTACAACATCGTGTATGTCACAATATCCGAGAAACCACAGTAAAGGCATTGATCGGATTTGAGCCCTCCTAAACCTGAAAAGGTAGCTGCGGAAGCAGCCATGGCCTGTTAGCCTTTGCATTACATAGTAATCCAGCTGCCTATGTCCACAGTCCACCCAGCTTCGAAGGTTCGAGATTAGTGACTTCCTCCACTCCGCCACATTACGTGTTGTCTCCCACTCTTGTTGCACAACGATTTATGAAGTAGAAATTGAAACGTCAAAATAAACTTATTTTAATCTTAAATTGTGACTTATTCCCAATAAAAGTATTAATTGCATTAACTAGAAATGCCACAAAAAAAGAGCTTCAAAACAATATCACCACATATTTAGATTAAGAGACTTTTTCAGTCTTAACAACTTTTCACCCCGTGTTTTCTTCAAGAAAGTCCTTTGTCCAAAATGTAATCCAAAAAGTAATAAGTAAATGTACAAAAATCCAAAAAGTAATAGAGCATGCGTCAAGTTCAGTTATAAAGATGAATACATGATATTTCACCGATAACTTTTAATACATTTTTTTGGACTCTATTTCATTCTATAACACCATTTAGTCAGTGTGATTCTTGGGGATCACTGTCATTAGAGCAGTTTTGTAACTTCCACACCACAATCTTTTACAGTCCTGATCTTCTTTGTAATTTTCTGTCAAATACTTCTGGTCGACGCAGTCCGTGTAGCAGCTTGTGTCGCCTCAGTTTTCTTAAGCGTATAAGGCGTGTAAGGTAGTTTTACGTTTCCTTGATATGGATGACCTTGCTAGTATCAAAGCCTGCTCCCTCATGTTGATAAGCTTCATTTTTTGATTTCCAGATTAACCTCCTTTAACCTACTGTATTTAAATGTAGGTTTCAATCAAATTGTTAAGAGAACTGGTAATAATTTCTTCTTTTGGAGATTATTTTAGTTAGGATAAGTAATTTTGGTAGTTTTTAGGTCCTTTTTACAGTCTCCTGTTTTTATTTCTTGTTTTTGTTATTTTGTACACTCTTTGTTCCATGAATATAGAGCACATATGAACCCATATTTGCTCCACATTCGGTACAGTGAGTTCTTAATGTAAATATAAGGCCTAGTATTAAAAGAAGTTCCTCTGGAACATACAATTGAAATAAAAGTAAACTAGGATATATAAGTAAAGTTAAACTTCTCCAGCTTAACTGGAAGACACTCACTATTAGAAAGTAGTCAAACAAAAATATATCCTACTATCTAGTGTAAGGCCAATGGAATTCAATTCGAAAATAATGAAAGCAAAACACTTCGTCTTCTCAGCCTTTTATCGTCCGTTTTTTTAGATATGCCCCTCCCAACTCCACCAATCGAGCTCTTTCCTGAGTAAAATACTTCCAATTTGTACCAGTTATTTTTTTATGCCATCTACTTATCTTAACGTGGGTTCTTTTGTCTAGGTTTGACATTCATATGTCACGATAAGAAGGATGCACTGGTTAAACACATTGCTCCTTAAGTATTAAGATATTTTGCCGTTCTTAAGTATCTAACTGAGTTTTTCCAAATGATGTCCATGCCAGTCTTGCTCATCTAGTGATTTCCACACTAGTTTGTGTGTCAGGGTTTGGCCTATTCCTAGGTAGGTATATTTTTGGACTCATTTTATCTCATTGCTATTTTAATAATAGTTATATGTTTGGGGTCTGTATTTCTCATTGTGGTTTTGCCATCTTCATTTTTAGACTGACGTATTGGTAGCTGGCTGCTGGTTGCCCCACAATAGTTTGGAATTTCTCGAATGTGCCCGCTATGATCACGATATTATCAGCGAACCTGCAGTCGTTTAAGTTGTTGCCATTAACAGTGGTGCTTTATGTTGACCAATTTGTGTTTTTAAAGACGTCTTTCTAGGGCTACAATAAACAGCTTAGGAGATATTATGTCGCCTTTTCGAATTTCGAACTCCACTCTTAATAGAAACGGGATTTGTATTATAGTTGTACCACTGACATAGTCATCTTTATATATATATATATAATATATATATATATATATATATATATATATATATATATATATATATCGGAAAAGGAGTACGACCGTCAATCCAATATATAATAAGGATCACTCAGACGAGTGGTGGGTTCTTATATCGGTCTCAAGGTGGAGAAATAAAAAGACAAAGTTGATGGCTACTTTATCTATTTTGAAGACGTTTCGCTTTCGTATTCATTCATTGTTTGGTCTCTTACAGACGGGTTGCCATCCAAACTCATTTATACTTTTCAAATACACCGCCCTATAAATTGGGTTCGTATTTCAACCTTGTAGTTCTGTCGTAGTTTTACGACCTCAAGGTTGGCTGTCTTTTCACGTTGTTGGCGCTATCTGTTTCAATTAAAGCCATTTTACCGGCGGCAGTTGTGAGGCTTTGATTGGTAACTTCATTATACACTATACTTTTTTAAATTTTAATATTAATCTTTTTAATAATGCTACCAAAGGTTAAAATCAAACCATAAATATTGCTCATATAGTTGCTACTCACTTTTTAATATCATTGACTGTTACATATCTTTTTAAGGTAACATTTGTAACATCTTTTCCATTATTGTGTGGTTCTCATATTGTACTTTTTAGATGAAGTGATGATGCTTTCAGAATACGAAAGCCAAACGTCTTCAAAATAGATAAAGTAGCCATCAACTTTGTCTTTTTATTTCTCCACCTTGAGACCGATATAATTACTTTACTTCCTATTATTGGGATCTGTTTTGTTAATATGAAAAGCTATAGATCAACTTTGTAGTTTTATCTTAGCATTAACTGTTTTTGTTTAAAAATTTAAAATGTATTTTTAGAATATAAAAATAAGATTGCTGCAATTTGACGTAAGTTATTCATTTTGAATAATATATATAAAAACAAAAACACTTTCATTGTGGTTGTACTTTTAACCAGTAACAATCGATATTTTGAAATGCTAAAGTAGATAATAAAGTGATAACTTTTTGTAAAAATAACAACTGAAGGATAATAGAGAGAAAATATTGTTTCATACTTTGAACTTCATGTACTACTGAACTATATAAATAATTAGGTTTTTTTATTGTGGAGAAAAGTATGGGTAAACCCATCAATGAATTAATAAGATAAGTCTCTTAATTATAAAAATATTTGTATCAAGTAACACAGCATCAAAATAAACAATATTAATATATAATTCTGATAATTAAATACAGAAAATAAACGTTTTTATTTTAAATAAAAAATTGGCTTAGAGTATAAGAAAAATAGTACGAGTTATAATATTGTTGTTAACAGTTTTTCCAAAAACTGCTTCCCTAAAAGTCGTGTATAAATAAGTTGTTCTTTAACACACAAATCGTTACCGAATTATACAACTTATACAATATTGTAACAGAGAACTACAGTTCTCTGATTCTGGCATCAGCATCTACTTCAAGCACCAGCAAAGAGCGTTACTAGCTGACGACAGAGGCAAGTGCGAACTTGTCAAAATAATAATTTTTATCAAACCCAATTTTTTTTTGTTTTTAGCAAACTCGGAAAAGTACAAAAAGCACATATAGTTTCGACAAGTTCGCACTTGCCATTGTCAAGTCAGGTAGTAACAATATATAATACAAAATACAAAGGTTTAAAAACTTCAGCAAATAGAAAATTCCGCAAAAAAACGAGATTATTCAATCGTTTTCGTTTATGGCTATCAAAGTAGATGGTACTTTTTTAGCTATCCACTTGAAGTGGGAAAAAAGCAAAACATTTGTAGACCGTTATGTGTGTGAATTTGTATCAGCCATGAGTCTCTGACGACGCAGGAATATGCAGAAATAAAGTTATAAAACTGTATTGATACTGATTCATACACGGAAAGTTTGTCGAATTATGCTCTCTTTAGTATTATTTATATCTTTCTGTTCCAGGTGGGAAAGCACTTTCTGGAATCAGCAAAGTTTTTACCGAATTGCTGGATTTCAGTTTGATGACCGACCGAGTATTTATTATCATAGCACTATCCAACGTAGTAGGGTTTATGGCTTTGTACATTCCCTTTGATTTCTTGGTCGAGGCTGCAGTAAAAGATGTAAGTACAATAAGTTTAGTTATAGATAAATGTATACTATTTTTGGGTCATGTAAACCTATAGCTGCATAATTTTTTCCACTTGCCCCTGTCGGTCACTTGTATATTCTAGTTATTTATTTTTTTCTTTCTAATATCTTGCTTCTCATCGCATTCATCTAATCTTGGTCTGCCCCTATTTCATTTTTGCTTCTGATGTTTTAATGCTATCCATTTATTTAAAATTGACTTCTTCATTAGCTTAACATGTCCTAGCCTATTCAAATGTTTGCTTTCAACTATTACATGATCAATTTGGTTTTCTGTTTTACCATTGGATGATCTCCACGTCATTTTATGGATATCTTTGTATCTGCACAGTGTTCACCCCATCTTTAGTTGTTTTAAATTGCAAATTCAATAAGTTTAAAACTATTACAAAATTAGCAAGAACAACAATACAAATAAAATAATAATGGTAGGCGGCCAGCAGATTGAGAGAGTAAAAAGATATAGTTACTTGGGAACGATAATCACAGAAAATAACGATTATACTGCAGAGATAAGAGTCAGAATTGAAAAAGCCCGTGTCAACTTTATGAAAATAAAATAGATTTTATGCAGCAAAGATCTGACATTGGCCCTCAGAACAAGGCTAATTAAATGCTATGTACACAGTGTACTCTACTATGGAGCTGAATCATGGATATTAAATCGGAATACAATAAATTGACTTAACGCGTTTGAAATGTGGACTTTTAGAAGATTGTTTAGGATTTCATGGGTAGATCCAAATGAGTAGAATCACGAATGCAGAAGTGTTAAGGAGTATAGGTAGAGAGATTGAAATAGAAAATATAATAAAGAAAGAAAATTGCAATAACTCGGACATGTAATGACAGGCGAAAATTCAACATCATGAGACTCATAATTCAAGGAAAAATAGAGGGTAGGAGAAGCGTAGGAAGAAGACGACGTTTCCTGGTTGAAAAACCTGAGAGAATGGTTTGGTTGCAGCTCAAGGGCAATTGTTCAGAGCAGCTGCCTCGAAGGTCAGAATAGCCATGATCATTGCCAACCTTCGTCGCGGAGATGGCACTTAAAGAAGAAGAAAACTATTACCGCTTGAGACATCATGTTTACTTAACCCTATAGCTGATTTAAACATGTCTTCTATTACTAATTTCATTTTAAATGCCTCTTCTAGTTATTCGTTAAATTGTGCATTTTCTTCTCCATCTTTTTTTTTTTTCGTCGAGGAGTAAGAATTGATAATGGTCTTTTTCTGTACCTTCCCCTTAGATTGAATCAGAAAATTTTCCAAAAATGAATTATATCCTATTTAAATCTCCGTGTAGAGTCTATGGTTCTTGTAGGATTAGTAAATAAATTTTAATAGTTTTTCATATTGAGCCGTGAGCCTACCATTTGGATATTTAGCTTTTATTTTTCTTGTTTTTCTCGTTTTCCTTTTCCATTGCCGTGGTCGTTCCTGCATTCTTCTGTTCTGTTCTTTAAAATAATTATAGAAAATGATTTTTGTTAGTTTGTTTTTACATATTTAGTTTGGGAATTGCCATGTATAATCTTAAGAAGATAAGAAAGTGCTATAATACTTTATTTTTATATTGCAATATTTAGTAATAAATAGTTATTGCACTTTGGATTGATAGATCACGTTTATTTATCACATGCTTACATAGACCGTCGACATTTAGCATTTCAGAATTAATGGAATTTCCTAAATATTATTGTTAATTAAAGAGAACTAGATGCTTAATCAAAATAATTAGAATTATCTTAGAAACGACAAAACATCTTATTTGCAGCAGTAAATAAAACCATTAAACTCTATCAATATTGCAAAATCATTTTTAACATTGCACTTGTAAATTTGCCGATTCAAAAATAGCATATAATTAATGTTTTCTTTTAAATTAAACAAACACTAACAGTGGCTATAAGGCAGTCCAAATATATGAGAGTCATTAAAAATATATATTTAAATAGTACCTATAGTTTAATATTATTGGTAAAGAAAATAGAGGCATTCTCATCTTCAAGGCCTTTCATTCCTGATAGAATGATTGCCACTCTCACTTAGAAATCGCAGATTCACTTATTGCGGTGAATCACTCCACATTGTTCTTCTACATTGTCAGAGTTTGTTATATGACTTGACTTTTGTTACAATTTTCTTCCACTCATTTCGATCTGTGCATAGTTTCTTCCAATTTTTCACTTTCAGGGTGTTGATATCTCTCATGACCTGGTCCTCTGATCTCTCTCTGAGCCTTCTCCTTCGTTTTTCAGTCTCTATCTTCCATCTGGTGACCTTCTTAATCAATTAGGATCGTTTTCCTACTCTCTATATATCCCAGTTAACTCAGTCTCTGCGCTTTAATTTATCTAACTATATCTTCTTCCTTCATTACATCTTTTAGTTCATGGTTCATTCTTCTTCTCATTTCTCCGTTTTCTATTCTTATTGGTCACATAATTCTTCTAAGGATTTTTCTTTCGACTATTCTTAATTTTTCTTCATTATCTGTGAAGCACATTGTCTTAGGGTACGTCCATTACGGAGACCAACGCATGGTATTATTGCCTAGAGCGTAGCACTGACAGTGAACGCTCGTATTTAAAATAATGGATTTATTTTACGTGACGATGATAAAATGATACCGTCCTATAGTCCGATCGAGGGTCGGCGCCTAGTTATGAACGTACACTTAGTCATTTTTGCTAATCTGATTAACTTTGCCAGTATATCTTCATTTTTCATTTCATTAAATAATTTATTTCTTCCAATACAGTCAAATGCTTGTCTGAAGTCTACGAAGAGGGTGTAAGTTCTAAGTTGCGTTCGTGGCATTTCCCGATAGTTTGTGTAATTATGTGGATCGCATCTGTAGTGGATCTGCTTTTCCTGAATCCTTGCTGGTGGTCCCCAGTTTTCTCTCTGTGAGTTTTTATCTAATAAGGGTTGTTATTTGTATGCTGTACTCAGTAGAGATACTCCTTCTATAGTTATTACAATTTGTTACTTCCCTTTTTTAAATGTTGGTATAATTTTATTTTCTTTCCAATCCTCGGGTATTTCTTCTGCTTCTCATATTCTGACTATTAGATAATAGATACTTGTTAATAATTTTTTTCCTTTGTTTTTAATTAACTTGTTTGGAATTTCATCTTGACCAGGTGTTTTTTCTGTTTAATTTTTTTAATGATGTGTAAATATTCATCATATATGTTATTATCCCAAACGAACTCACTAAGTACGGAGAACCAGATCTGACCAAACAACTATAAAAGCTAATCCAGAAAAATAATAGAACACAACAGAATTCCTCAAGAATGGAGATCAAACATCCTAATAAATCTCTTCAAAAAGGGAGACAAATCGGACCCAGAAAATTACAGAAGAATTCATTTATTAAACATAACACTAATTTAGCAACCAAAGTGATAACAAATAAACTAAATGAAATTGTAACACTAGCAAAAAGAACAACAAGGTTTTAGGTCGGGAAGATCATGCACCGACGCTATATTTATAATTAGAAAGTGTAAGAGAAATCATTAGAATACAACAAACTGGCATATCTTTGTTTTGTGGACCTTAAGAAGGCATTTGACCGGGTCAAATTAAAAGACGTTATCCACTTACTGTACGCAAGAGATACCTCTAGGAATAATCAAAACGATTGAAAATATCTATCAAAACAACACAATAAAAGTAAAAGTAGAAGAAGAACTTACCGACCTATTGAAGCTGGCAATGGTATAAGACAGGAAGATTCCCTGAGTTCTCTATTGTTCAACCTGATTATGGATAAAATAATAAAAAAGCAATAACCAAAAAAGGATACCAAATGGGAGAAACACAACTTAAAATAATCTGCGGTGCAGACAACGCAATACTAGTCTCTCAAACTGAAGATGATTTACAACGTATGCTGCACCAATTTAACATAACCGCCAGAAAATTTAACATGTTAATTTCCACAAAAAAGACAAAATGCATGGTTACAACAAATTTACTAAGATGTAAATTGGAGCTGGAAGGTCAGATAATAGAACAAGTGATAGAGTTTAAATATCTAGGCATCACTTTCTAGCTACGGAAAGCTCGAAAGTGGAAGATCAAGTAAATAGAGCAAACAGAGCCGCAGTCTGTCTGAATAAAACAATATGGAGAAATAAAAATATCGGAAAGAGATGAAAGACAGAATTTACAAAACAGTTATCAGACCAATAATGACATACGCGGCAGAAACAAGACCTGACATAGAGAGGACACAAAGAATGTTAGAAACAGCAGAGATGAAAATACTTTGAAAAATTGATGGTAAGATACTATGGGACAAAGCTAGAAGTACAGATATACAACGTAGATGCAAGGTGGAGAAGATCAAGAACTGGGTAAAAAACAGAAGAGTAGAAGGGAACGATTATATAAGCCGAATGACAACAAATAGAGTAGTAAAGACGGCAAGAGACGGTTACCCAATAGGAAGACGATCAGTAGGAAGACTACGAAAACGATGGAACGACAACTTACTGGAGGCACATTAAAAATCAGACAGAGTCATGTCTATATACAAAGAAGAAGAAGAGAAGATGGTATCCCTATTCCATTGAGGGCTTGATCCCATCCTATAAGTTTGATACATATCTTAAAAATTAGAAGGTTGACAAAAATAAGGCGAAAGTTAGGTCATCAAGATCGTAGTCATATCTTCCATCACTTCTCAAAAAACGTTTTGCTACAATTTTGTAATATCGACCAAATGATTCATACAGATAATAAAATTACTACTAAAGCTACTACTAAAATGTACAGAACTACCCTCGTAATATATATAAAAAATTCTATTCACCTCCTACATACATCAGTATTTGAAATCCTATCTCTTTACTTTCTCCTTGTTCGAACATCTATACAGATTTTTACTAGTTACGTAATCGATCTAAAGAAACGGCGAAGGTTACAATATTTGCAATTTTATCGATAGGTAACCGTTTAATATCTTTGGCATAGACCTACAAATCTAAACTCGGCCTAGACATGAGTAATAACCATAAACTACTAAAAAGAATAATAAAAATGTCATCTAGTTAAAATATCTCGTCTAAATTACAACAAAAATTTGCAATTTTAATTTTGTTGTTGTTCTTCAGATAAGTTATTCTTTAAAAACGTCGCATTTGGAGTTAGTCTATTTTTATAATCGGATTTATTTCCCTATTTTTTTTTAATTTTCCTTTTTCTTACATCTTCGTACTTAGGTCTGGTACGAACACGTAACCTCCATATTTTTTTGTCTACTGCTATATTTTTTCGTTTTTACACGTCGTAGTAAATTATTACATGCATTATCTGTTAAATAACTGTTAGTAGGATAACCTTATCTTAAACATAAAAAAAGAAAAAATAAAAATTAGTTGTGATATGTACGTTATTCTATATTATTTTTATGATATTTCTTTGACATAATCATTAAAATATGTGGGCAGGCAACATTTTTGTAAAATTATTTCAAATGAAATTATATGCCAAGTCAATGCCCACTCTCAGATGCCGCCTTTGGAGTTTGTCAACACGCAAACGCCATGTTTTAGACGGAAACATAGACTCGAATTGAGAAATTTGTGACAAGCTAGGACAGAAATGTAATTTAAATTTTTAGAGATTAATAATTTAGTACATTTGAAATAATTTAATCGATTCTTCAACTAAAAGTACGAATAAAATAGTGCATATTATGTCTGCAGTTGCCGTAAATAAATTAAACCGGGTTAATTTGTCTATGCACACCAGATAAAATGTCACTGAATAGCACTGGTTCCGTTTAAAACATGGCTGATTCCGTCTGCGCGTACTTATTTTTTTAAGCAGAGTGGGCATTCTGATTGTTTATTATTCTGTGGCCAAGTGATATATCATCTGAAACTTCTGTTGTCACTCGTATGTTTTTGTCCACTGCTATCGCGCTCTTTAAAAATCGCGACCACTTATGTTTAATGGCGACAATGTGGAAAAGTATGGACTACATCTAATAATTTGGTAGTCTTACGCTTTAATGCAAAATACTCGAAAAAATCAATTCATCTATTCCGTTTCGCAGATCTGTCAAAAGTATGACTTCATTGAATTCGTTCTTAAATGATACTATGTGACGAGTGGGTACATCATTTAGAAGCCCTTTTGTCAGTTAGTATGCTAGTATGCAGGAGTAAGGGCTTTTCCCATCTATATAAGCTGTCAGCACATCTACTGCTGCTTGTTCTTATTATGTTTAGAGTTGTCCATGTATTGCGGGTCAGTTCAAAGCCTGGCGGTTTCTGATCGATACAGGCCATTTGATGTGCTTCCTGTGGTGAGTCGCTCTCCCATTGTGTTCTCCAAGCTTTGGTCAGCTTAAAATGCTCCTGATGTAAGGAGTTGGCTCTTAGTAATGGAGGATATCTGGAGTGCAGTCTGTTTATTTCGATATCAAGCTTATCTTGGTGTATGGGTAGTTGATAGTTAGCCTCAATTGTTCGATATTCTCTAAGAAGAGAATGACTTCTTCGAAGTTTCGGCGGTGGAATGTGACTTAGAATGGGAAGCCAATAGTTTGGTGTGGGTCTAATTGTATCTGAGATCATTCGCATTGTCTGGTTTAATTGGGTGTCAATAATCTTCGTGTGTCGGCTATTGAGCCATACCGGGGAAGCATATTCAGCCACCGAGTATACAAGTCCGAGAGCGGATGAATCTGAATACGGATCTGAATACGGAGACTGAGGACCCCCATGTAGTGCCACATAGCTTCTGGACTATATTATTTCTTGTTTTGATGTCGTTCTTTAAAGATGTTCTTTAAAACGCAATGTTCTATCGAAAGATATTTTAGCGTTGAGTTACGAGTGAGCAGTCTATTTTCGAAGTGGACGGAGAGTTTTTTGTTGGCTTGGGCATTATTCAGATGGAAACAGCATACTTCGGTTTTCGTTGCATTGGGCCGTAGCCTTCATTTGCGAAAGTATTCTCCCATAATGGCAAGGTCACCCGCTAATATTTTTTCTTTGATATCCATGTTATTATGTCTTGCTGCAATGGCCCAATCGTCAGTGTAGCCAAATTTTTGCGAAGTTGTCCTAGGTAGGTCCGCGATGTATAAATTAAACAGTAAGGGTGCCAAAACAGATCCCTGTGGCAGTCCATTGCTGAGCTTCATTTGAAAACTTGTAGAGTTGCCCATTGTGACTTGAAAAGGTCTATCGGTGAGCATGTTATCAATGAATTTAGTTACCTTTTGGCACGGGACGGCACTGATTAGTTTGCAGATTAGTCCTTGTCTCCAGACAGTATCGTATGCAGCTGATAGGTCAATGAAAGCAACTGATGTTGTTCTTTGGAAACCAGCTTCAATATGTATTGTTAAGGATAGGATCTGATCTGTGCAGCTGCGGTTAGGTCTGAATCCTGCTTGTACCTGCATTTTTCTCTATAGTAAAATGCTGAGACCAGCTTCACGAAACTAGTGCCCCGAGAAGGCGTCACAGGTAGCGTCACGAAATAAGGGGTTCTTGAAAACGATTCACTACTCACAATCAATTCGTTTCTAATTATGATATACTTACTCTAAGCAGGTTTTAATTAAATACTGCATTAAAAATAACTAATAAAATATAAACATTAAACGATAAGTTAAAAATTAAAACAATATCTGTCAATAAAAAATCGATTCGTAAGGAATGTCAAAATATAAAAATCATAAATGACATCCAGTTAATAACAATATTAACACTTCTCGTTTTAAAATAATTTCATATAAATACAATTATTATTTTTAAACATCTTATTTAGTTTATATAATAATTAAATTTACTATCAAATGATACCTTTTTATTTATATTTTATCATTAATTTAATACTTCATCTGAATTTGACAGGCCTGTCAAAAGTAAACAACGTATGCTTTGTTAATACGTTAGTAGATGGTGTTAAGAGCAACCTAACCATAATAATGTATCGAATTATTTTAATATAATATAATTTGTTAAAATATAAATAATAGATAAATAATAAACTTCGTGCTAGGCTCATGCACCGACTACTGTACCATCTTTTTTTACACAGTAGTCATTCAGAATTAGACGGTCGCCATGTAATTATTTAGAAACTTACTGAGTAATACAAATGCTTTTAAATAAAGTACTACTTGCCTTATGGCGCCGTTGAAAAGAATTTAAGTATAAAATTAATAATTTAAGTTTAATGGTTCAGAAAATAGCTAGGAAGGGGACGTGGAGTTAGACGCTCACTGTATGTCCTCGAACTTGAGCAGTATATATTGTTAAAACCCCACTCTCAGAAGTTATGAATCAAACTTTGTGAGAAAAATTTAGGTTTTGTTTTAAACTTAACTTGATTTGTACAATTTTTAAAATTGCCTTTAATTTTAGAATGTAAGAGCGTACACATTTAAACACCATCCATTACAATGCAATTGCTGTTTTTTTTATTAGGGAGAAACATTTGTTTAGATATGTTATATTAAAAAATTATTATCCTTTATCGTCTATAAATAAGGCATTTCTAAGAATCGACCGAATGGAACAGAAAAACATAGAACGGAATCGTTCAGCATCCACAAGGAATAATACGAGGAAATTAACAATACCATACAGAAAAGGATTATCAGAAAATCTTAAGACGATATGAAATAAATTCAAAATTCGGCAACAAAAGAAACATATGGTAAAACACTATCAATAAGTAAATAACATATCGAGAATCCATCAATTATGTTTTTAAATAACATAGATATAAAATCAGAATTTGGTGTCTAATGAGAATAAATGTTTGGTTGTCCTTTTATAGACAAATCATATCCTATGATTTTTCTGACGGTTATTCTCAAGTTAAAGATAATTTCATGTAATCGAATGAACCATTTCACAATAAAGTGGACCCAGGAACGCAACACAACAATGTTGGCAATATCATTTTAAAGTCGTCTTCTTTAAAATGTATAATATATGTCTGAATTGTCAATATGAATAATTCAGATAAAATTAAATTATTAGAAGAATTTTTCAATAAGTAACAAAAAACAAAATATGTTAAATTGTGGGTTTATTTTATAAATTTATACCAATCTACTAGTTCTGTTCTTCTGTTTTGTGACGAACGATCAGATCTTTAATTTTTTATTGAATTAGTGCAAGGTATACCTACCATTTTCGTGATTTACTAATTCCAAGTTGGTACAACATTATATCTTTTGTTTGTTTTTGTCGTGGTCACTATATCATATTTAAATCTAGTAGGAATTTTACAGTTTTTTCTCAAAGATGATGTCCTATATATTAAAACAAAACACAAAAAAATTCTTATATTACTGGATTATTTTGTAACATATTATTTTTTTTAGGGCATAGACAAATCGAAAGCATCTCTGCTTATATCTTTCATGGGTATAACCAACACAGTGGGCCGTATAATTTGTGGATTTGTAGCAGATTTTCCCAAAGTAAATACTCTTCTCGTTAATAATATTTGTATGATAATTATGACCATAGCTATTGGTTCGGCTGGATTTTGCCACGACTATTTATCTTATTCAGCAATGGCGCTTATCAACGGATGTGCTATGGGTAAGTAAATATGTATAATCTTAATCATAAAACAAGTTTTTTTTTAATTTCAATGCTTACAATGCACACCTGATTAAGGATAAAGATACGTAATCAAGTAGATACTGTTAGTTTCTGCAGATAAGGTGACCCCTATATAACATGCGGACATCAGAAAGAGAGTATGAATATATACGTTCAATATACAAACCGCTGGTTTCTCCCATTCGCCTTGAGTATGCATATTACGATAAACAAATAAGTAAGAAGAGGATATAAAAGTCTATTTAAAGCAAATAAAATAAAGCAGATAATATAAAAATATATTTAATTTTAATAAATCTATAAGTCTAATAAATTCTAATAAATCATTAACTTCTATAAATCAATTGCGACATGACGAAGATATAAAACCTAACAGTTAGGATAGCCAAGAATCAGTTTACAAAAGATGAAACCTCTTATGCAGTCGAAAATAATAGAAAGATTAAAATCTCACAAAATAACTGATTATGACTCTCAGGTATAGAAGAATATTATAAGCAAGTGATTAAATATAGCTGTCTAATCGGAGGGTGTGAAAAATGTATAAATAATCCACCGAATTTGAGAATTCGGTAAATGGTTACGTATTATAAGAATAACGGCACAACGTGTAATCGAACACTTAAGAATGAATTTATATTATATATACGTACAGACACGTGTAAACATTAAATCTTACCAGAAAAGTAATCAATAAGATACAATGTGCACAGAGAGTAATGGGGAGGAGGGTGTTGAATATATCCCTCAGAGAAAGAGTTGCAAATTAAATAGTTAGGAGAAAAACTGGTGTTAAACGCAACTAAAAAAAATTACAACGCTAAAATGGAACTGGTCAGAACTTGTTCTCAGAGTCAAAGATAGAAGATTGACCAAGAAAGTGAGTGCTGAAGATCAAATGGAATATAATTAAATGGGTGCTCTAATAATAAATCAATAAAAATTATTGTACAAGCAAATCAATAATAATGAAATCAATAATACAGAAATCAGTAAATATAAACTATAAGTAAAGTTAATAATTTCAAAAGTTTATTGTTGATGCTTTGTGATATGTTGGTGTTGGCTGTTTGGTTGTTTGGGTTGTGTTTGTTGTATGTTTTTGAGTTGGTGTTTTATTGTTCTGTATTAGATTGTGTTGAATTGGGCTGTGTTTGTTTATCGGTTTGTTTTTGGTGCTGGTTGTTCTCTATTTTGTTGAATATATCCCTCAGAGAAAGAGTTGGCAAATTAAATAGTTAGGAGAAAAATGGTTTAAACGCAACTAAAAAATTAAACGCTAAAATGGAAACTGGTCAGAAACTTGTTCTCAGAGTCAAGATAGAGTTTGACCAGAAAGTGAGTTGCTGAAGATCAAATTGGAATATAATTAAAGATTGGGTGCCTAATAATAAATCAATAAAAATTATTGTAACAAGCAAAATCAATAAATAATGAAATCAAATAATACAGAAATCAGTAAATATAACTATAAGTAAAGTAATAATTTCAAAATAAAAATAAAAAGGTGATTTCGTACTCGATGTTGGCTAGTAAAGTCGTCTATCATACGCTATACAAAGTGACATCGGTGTTTGTAGGTTATTTGGTTCACATTATTAGTTATAAGTATATTAAGTTTGTGTTTAAAAGGAAAACTACTGTAAGTAAATTTTGATTTTTTGAATATTTCTACCCCGGACCAATGTCCGGGGAAAACAACTCATCCACCAGCGGCAAGGGGCCGCCGAATGGTAAATTTAATAAAGATAGTCGAGTTAACGTTCTTGTTGAGGATATCGTTGTACCTGAAGATATTGATATGAGTTCATGTATAAACAATAAAAATAATAATCAATTAAATGAATTATCTAGTACAGATACACTCGACAAAAACTTGGAATCCGACAAAAACTCGTATTATGATAAACAACGTTTATTATATCAATTAACAAATAGATTTAAACCTAACGATTTGGGACCGTTTCATGTTTTTGTTGAACATTTAGAATTAAATATTGGGAGATTACATCCAATGAAATTGGGTGAAAAGTTAATAAATCTAAAAGAGTATGATAAAAATATTATTGAAATTAGTACGGTTGGTCGCAATCGTATAAAAATCGAACTTAATTCGGGCAGTATTGCAAATGAATTAGTTAAAGATCCATTCTTTGAAAAGAATAATTTACTGGCATATATTCCTGGTCATCTTATATAAAAACGCTGGTTAGTCCGATCTGTAGATACTTCCTACAGCGAGGAGGCCCTCCTAAAAATGATTAATTCTAGTGTACCTATCAAAAAGTAAAACGCATGACTAGAGTCATCCAAAAAGACAACAATATGGAACGTGTTCCTCGTCAAATGATCATTGTTACGTTTGAAGGAAAACTTATTCCTCAATATATTTATATTAACAAAGTTAGATGCTCTGTAGAAACTTATATTAATCCAGTTATGCAATGTTTTCGTTGTCTCCGATATGGCCATTCCGGCTCACAGTGTAGGGGAAAGAAAAGGTGTAGAAATTGTGGGTCAGAAAATGAATCTGTGTGCGAAGCATGCAAAATTTTTTGTGTTTATTGCAAAAATAATAGTCACAATTCTACTTATAAGAAGTGTCCTGAATTCAAAAGCAAACTAGAGTCAAAGAAGCTATGTCTAATTTGAATATATCTTTTAAAGAAGCTGAGAAAAATTATTAACAATCCGGCCTATTCTAGCCTCATACAAAAAAATAAATTTGCCCCATTAATTGATTCGGATATAGAATTTCCTGCTTTAAAAACTTCTACAGCACAACATCCTGTCCTAATACTTCTTCTAAATCGAACTTTAGGTCAACACATGATCAACCATCTTCTCCTAAACCCTTGCCAAAAAAAAAGAAAAACTAGTGATTCTTCTCCCAATTTTCCACCCATTAGACGAGAATATAATACTAGCTTTTTTGCAGGACGGTCTTCCAGTTTGGAAAAGAGTCGCAAAATGATTTTTCAACACTTAAACATCAATTAATTACCATGTTAACAAGTTTTTTTCACCAATTTTCACAGAATCCATTATCAAATAGTAGTTTAAATTTTGAAGAAATAGAGTTTGAAAATAAAATTAAAAACATTGTTGATAATATATTTAAAACCTAAAAAATCAAAAAAAAAACTCAAAGATGTCCTTTAAACAAAATCTTAAAATTATTCAGTGGAACGCTAGATCTCTTAAAGCTAACAAAAATTCTTTTTACCAAATTTTAATGGAGGAAAAGTTTGATATTGCAATAATTTCTGAAACATGGTATAAGCCTACTGACAACATTAAGTTTAATAACTTTAACGTCATTGCGGTTAATAGAGATAAAGGTTATGGGGGAGTAGCAATTTTCATTTCACATAAAATTTTATACGATGTCATTCAATTTAATCATAATTTTAATCCAAAAATTGAAGTTTGTGGAATCAATATCATTCTTGGTAACCAAAAACTCTCTATAGTATCTCTATATAAACCCTCCGATGTTAAAGCGAAATCTCAAGACTACATCAATCTATTTAGTCAAATAAAACATGATTGCATAATAGGAGGCGACTTTAATGCCCATCACGGCATGTGGGGCTCACCTTCATGCTCACATGATGGCAGAGTTTTGGTGGATACTTTAGATCATTTTTCAAACTTGATTGTTATAAACGATGGGTCTGCCACAAGGATTTCCCCTCCTGGCCAGGCTAAATCTGCAGTAGATCTCACAATTGCTTCATCTAAGTTATGTCCTACACTTGGTTGGTCTGTTAGTCAGGATTCTTATGGATCAGATCATTACCCAATCAGTATTACGCTCAATAACTATTATCACAATGATAATGCAATCACGTTCCCATTATATAAATGGTCTACGAATGAAGCAAATTGGACCTTATATACAGCTGAAATAGAGAAATCATTTTCCACACCACCAAACTGCATCGATACCAACGGTATGTGTATATTTTTAATGGAACAGATTACGAATGCTGCGAACAAAGCTTGCAAAATTCTAAGATCATCCTCAAATATATCATTCAAATCACCTAAATGGTGGGACGAGGAGTGCCGAGAGATATCGAATAAGAGAAAAATTGCATGCAAAAGGTACAAACAAAATATGTGTCTGGCAAACTTTGTTGAATATCAAAAAATAAATGCTAAATGTAAACTAATCTTTAAACAGAAATGTAGAAATAGTTGGGCCAACTTCTGTCTCAATCTAAACAGACAAACTCATCCAACTGAAATATGGGATAGAATTAAGAAAATTAAAAAAAATAAAAATCTGTATGTGCACGACGAAAATATCGTTGAAAATTTGTTCCATAAAATAGCTCCTTGCTATGTTCCCTCTCCAATATATCCCACTGAAGATACATTTAAATCACATTTTTTGTCATCTCCTATTAGTATCAACGAACTAACTACTAATATCAAGTTTTCTAAGAGATCCTCCCCTGGGATTGATGGTATTAATTATCTTATGATATACTACTTGCCTACAATAGCACTTCAATTTCTCCGTGATATTTTTAACAATATTCTAATTAAAGGTGATAACTGCGATTCTTTAAAGCAGTGTCTTGTAATACCTATCCCAAAAGCTAATGATCCCAATGTCCTAAGACCCATATCTCTTATGTCATGTATATTGAAAACATTTGAACGAATCATGAAAAGTCGACTAGAATGGTGGATGGAAAGTAATAACCTTTACCCAGACGGTCAGCTTGGGTTTCGTAGAGGGAAAGGAACGATGGATTGTATTTCACACTTAGCAACCGATATCCAGTTAACTTATTCGAAAAACCAATACACAGCTGCTTTATTTGTGGACATTTCTGGTGCATATGATAACGTTATTCTTGATCTTCTGCTTGATCAACTTGTTAAATTAGGAGTGCCTAGTAAATGTGCTTATACCCTAGTCAATCTATTTACAAATAGACAAGTTCATATTCGGTTAAATAATTCACTGATTGGTCCAAGGACAGTTAACAAAGGGTTACCTCAGGGCTCAGTTCTTAGCCCCTTATTATTTAACTTGTATTCATTAAACTTACATACTATGGGAATGCAGTGTAACATTTTACAATATGCTGATGACTTCTGTTTCTATGTTGAGAAAAAAACTTTTGAACAATGTGTTAATGCACTTAAAGTAAATATGTCTTATTGCAAAAAGTATTTTGATAGTCATGGGCTTGACATCTCGCCTAAGAAGTCAGGTGTAGTATTTTTTTCGAGACACAGGTTACCAAAAGTTAGTACGTTAAAATTCTCCCAGCTGGAAATTCCTGTATATAACAGTTTTACATACCTAGGTGTTACCTTGGATTCAAAATTAACCTGGAACGAGCATATTAATAATTGCATTACCAAATGTGAAAAGAGCCTTAATATCCTTAAGGCCGTTAATCGATACGATTGGGGAGCAGACCCGAAAATTAACTTATTATTTTTCAGAGCATATACCAGATCAATTTTGGACTACGGAAGCTTTTTTTATGGATCAGCGACAAAATCTCGTTTGATTAAATTGGATCGAATACAATATAAAGCTTTAAGGTTAGTCCTAGGAGCTCTCAAATCTACTCCCACACCAGCCCTTTTGGCAGAATGTAACGAGCCACCTTTACATTTAAGACGTCTATTTTTGGCAGAAAAATTTATCCTTAAATGCCAGTTTAATAATCAAAACAGCTTATTACAAAAAATATCTTGTCTCTCTGTCGAAAATTTAACAAACAAATGGTGGGCAAATAAAAACTCTCCAACTCTAGCTGTTGCTTTTCCTAATTTATCCCAGTATCCATTTAATGGAGGAGGGATTCCATTCTTTGGCTCCAATTATGACTTACTATATGAATATAAACCTACTGTAGTAATTCCTTCATATATTTCAATTGCTCACGAAGATTTAATAGTACAGAACAAGCTGGAAGACTCCATCCATATATGTAAAATTTATACCGATGGTTCAAAATCGCCTGCTGGTGTTGGCTGTGCCATTTACATAAACAATACTCAAGATTATTTTCAGTTTAAATTAAAATCAGATTGCTCAATATTCACAGCTGAATTGGTAGCCATTGTCAAGGCGTTGGATTGGATAATTAATAGCACATTATATTTCGAACGATATATAATTTTATCTGACTCACAGTCCGTCCTCCTCGCATTAAGACACTTTTCTAAACAAATATATACCAACAGACTAATTGTAGATGCGCTTGAAAAGCTAAGAATCTTAACTTCTTTAAAAAGAATTGTCAACTTTGTGTGGGTTAAAGGTCACTCTAATATTATAGGTAATGAAAAAGTAGACCAGTTGGCTAAAGACGCTACTTTAGTGGGTATAGATTACAACGAGTTGCCCAAATGGGATATAGTTTCAGCTAGGAAGAAATATGTTAGACATAATTAGGAAATTGAGTGGCAATCCTTTACTAACAGTAGCAAAAATACATACTGCAGTATATATCCAACTCTTCCATCTACTCCTCTAAGTGACAGAAGTCCATCTCTCGGAAAATTTATACTATGTACGTTAGATGCCTTTTTGGACATGCTACAGTAAATGCTTACTTATATAAAATAAAACTTTCTGAAACTGATATATTATGTGAATGTAATGGCAGTTATGACGATCTAAACCACTGGATGTTTCAATGTCGGTATAATCAAGAAGCCATAAAATTTTTATTTCAAGCCATCTCTCAAGAAAAAATCATTTTGCCGCAGAACGTTGCTTCTATTATGTATTTAGGTAGTCGAAATTCAACTATAAGATCATCAATTTTATGGGAATTTTTCAAACGTACCAAACGGAAAATCTAAACTGCCCTGTTCAGTGTTGTTGTGTGAATCCGAAATGGTAGGACGTTAGTTGTTGTATTTCCCATTGTCTTTCCTTTTATGTCTTTTACCTTTAACCGTTGCCTGTATTGTTTGTGTTACAAAAAAGTCGCTATGAAGGGCACCTTAGCGTGAAGCGTGTGTTCCTGTTCAATCCTTTTTGTATAGTCACATAATAGTGTTTTTAATGGGAAGGTTAGGAAATTGAGTGAATGTGGTGAGAATGAACGAACGGTTAGGAAATTGTTATGAATTTGAAGGATTGTTTTTATGTATTCTATATTCTTATACCTATATTGTCTGGCTAAATAGGTCTTGTACCTAAGGCCAAAAAAAAAAAATAAAAGGTTCTCGACAGTTAAACAGTTCACGCGACACAATATGAAATAGTTCAGCACAAAAGTAAATTCTCAACAATGTATATAACGATGTTATAAAAAGTAAACGTACTTGATGTATAACAGAAACAATGTAATTTGTATCAGCAGTTCAGGAGCAAAGTAATTTAGAAAGATGACCAGCTTCGTTCCGAAGCGACAGTATTCCGGAAATACGGGTGGGACACTGAGACTAGCGCTGATGTTGCCTAATACTTGCAACTAGTTGTGAGCTCTGCTAATTTGAATCGTACTACCCACAATTTGATTTAGTTGCAATAGATATTGGAGAAAGTCCAACAGTTGCAATGTTTAGTAATTCATATAAAGAGTTTGTAAACCAGAAAACTAATTAAAAAAGAAGTTGAAGCAAACGTTTATAAATTTATACAAAAAATATACACGAATAAAGAAGTAAAATATTTTTGTCATATAAGATTCATTAGATAGCAAAACAATTAGATTTTAATTTTAGAAATATACTCAGAGCAATTATTTGTTAGTTAGATAAAAAATGTTTGGCAAAATTAGTTTAACAAGAAGTACTCATATGCATAATGTTATTGGGTAAAAATTAAACTTAAACTTCAAATCTGCCAACTGCACATCAACGAAACTAAACTGTAACTGCAAATAAAACTAAGCCTTAACTTGGTCTATTTGCCACTTACACTATATACTTATATACTTTGTATTAATTTTTTAGCCGGATACATCTCACTGACATCAATCCTTCTGGTCGAATTCTTAGGATTAGAAAAACTAACAAGTGCATTTGGACTACTCATCTTATTCAGAGGAACTGGAGCTCTGATCGGACCACCATTACACGGAATCATCATCAATTCATCTTCGTATTCCTATGGTTTTATGGCAGCCAGCGGTTTCTTTGCCATCTCAACCATACTCTCTTTTATTATCCCAATAGTACAGAAGAGTGCTAGTAAGGAAAAAATAATCGTAAACGAGGATCTGATGCCCGTTAACGGAAAAATCGAAGAAGGAGTATAAAGATAGGTTTATTAACACGTTGACTACTCACTGCTTAAAGCTTGAGCTGAATGCTTATGGCTTGGAGCGCCGTTCTGGAAACTCGTCTAGCTTTCATGAGTTTATCGTTTATGATGGAAGGCTAGAGTCAGTATGAACAAAGCAATAAGAGCAGGTAAGAATACTTAAATGGCTTGAACAGACAATGCCTTCAAGAATGCGATTCTTTGACGAACACAAGATCCGCATTCATTTGACGAAGAGATTGTGTTATACTATGACAATGATAATCGGCTAACAATGAGTTGTACTAAAGTAAACGAAGCACCTATTTTTTATGATGTGGTTTAAAATAGATTATTTTGTACACAGTTAATTAAACATAGAAATTAGTATATTTATATGCTTTAACAAAAATAAAACACAATTAAAATTAAACTTATCTACAGATATTGTTGACATTATCTCTGACAATATTAAAATAAACAGTTATAAAAATTGGGGATATAAGTTCAAAAATCTCAAAATATTTATAAACTGGTAACAATCTTTAACTTTTACACCCTATATTGTAAACCGCCAGCATAAAGTTCTATACAAACACCTTTAATTAATGTTTAATGTTACTGTGTTCTCTTATTTACAATGGGTATCTTAATTCCTGTGTAAATACAATTCGTACTTGTGGTATTTACAATGTACGCCTTTTAAATAATTCATAAATAAATTATAAGACAAACAGTGAATGTAGAAGCTTGCATTTTATGGAAATTCTTGCTAAAGGCGTAGCTGCACGTTTTCAAATAAGAAGATATGTATATATATATATATATATATATATATATATATATATATATATATATATATATATATATATATTATGAAAGAGAGCAATTAAATGTTGGAGGTGCCAATTGAAGGGACGGAGAAGGGCTATTGAGGAACGAAAGTTTGGTAGGTCGAAAATGGAGTATATTATGGGGTTGAGAGGAACAGGAATGGTTGAGAACATCAAATTTCTTGGGAAAATCTAGGACGAGTAGGAAATTTTAAATAGCTTGGCTTTTATATAATGGAAAATTTAACACCAGATTGAGAAATTGCCAAAAAGATACAGGCTGCTTGGTTTAACTGAAAGCCAATGAGCAGAGTACACTGTGATTGAAAAATCGGTGAATGGCTGAAAGAAAACGTATATAAGAGTGCGACGAGGACTGCGTTGGCATGCGGAGGTGAAGTGTGGTATCTAAAGTAGGTTCTGGAAAGGAAATTGGAGGTAGCGGAAATGAAAATGGTAAGGTGGATGCTGGTTAAGACTAGAATTATCAACATCAGAAACAACGTGATTAGGGAAAGAGCAGGCTCCTTACAGTGTCATAAAAGGTTCAATAAGAAAGACTGCAATGGTTTGGTTACGTCAGACGTATAAATGAGATATATGTAGGACGAAGGACAGAGCTGTTAGAAGCTGAGGGGTAAAGAGGTAGAGGAAACCCGTGGAGAAAATGGCAGGGGACTTGAGGGAGAAATCAAGAAGACAGGATGGACGGAAATGAGAGGGGTTCTATTTAATGGGAATAAACGTCAATTTTAATATGTTACATATGACGTTTTGATTTCTATTTCGTAAATCGAAAAGTGAATCAATCACAAGGACTCACAAGAATATTATAGTTACTGTACGTGAATCCATTCTCCGACAGTTTGTTTTCACCCCTGAGTAGGTGGAGTACTTGAATTACGAAGTATTGTGTTTATAAAGGACAGAGTTCAAACGCAGAAGATGCTTATTAATTATGGCTCTAGCCAGTGAAACCTCAGATTTCACGAAAATCGCTTCTGTTTGCAGCATAAGTTATTTCAGATTTTGCAGATATTTCCGTTCTCGGTACCTAAAATGCGAATCAAAAAGTTCATGCAAACTGTTACTACAAACCAGGGTTATTAAAAAAAATCAGACGCATTTTACTACTTTTCTGGTGAAAAATAATGATGATTAAGCCAAGTTAGTTAGTCGCAAAAAAAGTTTATACAAAAAAGCTTAATACGTGAATCCATACTAATTTAAGGCGTTTCGAATTTTTTGATATATTTCGGTAAGTAGTAAAGTGAGGGAAATAAACTAGATCGGTTGTCAACGTCAGGGATGCCTTGCTAAATATCAGAACGAACGAAAAATTACTCGTATGTTAAAAGTCATTCTCTAAAATGTCAAAAAATATCAGAATATCAAAATTACCAATCAGCATTTTCCAATTTTCCTTAATATTTCACCCGTATTTAAGTATACTATGATTTAGTTAATTGAATGTTCATATTTAACCAAAGGCCTAGTTGAAGGCTACCAAAGCGTAAGTAATGCAATTTTATAGAAATTTTAATTACTACCTACTTACCAAAAACGTAAATGAGAAAGGTAACCACTTATTACTATTTACATAAAAGTAGGTGTGTCGTTTTGTAGACATTTTATGTGACTGCAGTCTTTAAAAATACTTTTGTATAACTCGATTGAGAACAGTTAGCTTAGAACCAATGTAGAATTAGATAACTAACAGTAAATTATTTATTTACGAAAGTATTAAGAAGTCTTATTAGTTATTATCATCTAAAAAATACTACATACGCTGTACCTACTTAAACCAAAACATTGTATTTTTTATGTGTGCTTAGTTTCTTTTGGTTTTTGTCTTTCATTAATTTCATAGCTTTTTTAGTAGAAGACTCTCAATACTTTCGTACATTTAAGAGACAGTCAATGTGTTAAATTTTTATAGTAGACTATTGTCATCTGAGACTTAACAAAAGAGGTCGTTTTTAATCTTTTTGCAGTTTGGTTTTGCTCAAACTCAACAAAAATTTTTAAAATTTAAAAGGATCTATAAAATTAATTGGTTAGTTAATTTATTTATATTGACTTCAACGATTTCTTCTTCATACTTTTTCCTTATATTCATTATATTATAACTTTTTATCCAAATATCCATATAAAAACATTCTACTTCAGATATCATGTACATTTTTCTTTATAAAAACTTGTGGGATTTTTTTATTTTCGCATTATAAGTCTCGTACTGTACGTTACTAATTGTACGTTTCTTAGTTTCTTAAAATCCTTTCGAGAACTCTTTTGTTTAAAATCCAATCTAAATATTGTTACCAATAACCATAACTTCGTTTTTATTTTTTCATTATTTCGTCCAAAAAGAGCCTTTTTGGATAAATACTTCTTCTTCGTCCTTTTCAGCTTAAAACGTTTTTTATCTGTTGCTAATATTGTAAAATTGTTGACCAATCTCTTTGAGTCTCCCTCTTTGAGTCTCTCTCTTTGAGTCTATCTTTTTAAGTCTAAAGAAAAATTGCATTTTTCCTTTTTATTATAAAGTAAAGATAGGCTTAGTTAGTCTTATTTATTAAATACATTATTTATTTCAAATTTTTTTCTTATTTTTTTCTTATTTGTCTTATTTATTTCTTGGTGTGACATCCAGTGTGTGTTCATTGGTAATATTATCTAGAAGCAATAATTTGGTGTTTATTTTTATCCAGTACCAAGTGGAATCTACTTTGTCAAAAAGACATGTAACTCAAAGACACATTTTACCACCTTCGCATGCCATAGACGACACAATAAGCAGTATTCAATTGGTATTTTTTGATCATTCCACCGTTTATCCGTAATACTATCATTTTATTGATATATTTAATTTGAGTTACATGATTATATCGTGTTTATATTGTGACAAATAAAAGTTTAGAAACGACCTCCGAATACATATTTATAGCAAACAAAAATTATTATTTAAATATAATACTTTATTTATTTGTTTTAATAACAAAAATCATTTCGATTGTGTCATGTCTTGCAATTGTAGTGTCTTTGTAATCCCATGTCATTTCATGAAATGCCATACTTTATTTAACAGAGGAGTTAAGTTATTACAAATATTATTATAGATAATATAAAGAAACAATTGTTAGTAGTTTTTTACTAACATAGTTTATAGAATAATTAAGTTAAGAAAAGACTTTTATCTTGTTTTATTATGACAAAGAAAATTTTTAATTATTTGACCATATGTAGACCATTCAAAACTATTTTTACTGCATATTAATTCATATTATTTCTACATAATATATTGGGATGTTTGGTATTCAACATTTCTTACCTAATAAACATCAAGGATAGTATGATATGTACTAAAAAACAAGCCAGTGGTGACTCCACTTAAAAAATATTACTCAACAATTAAAAAAAATGTTTTTCGCAATCCATCTGTTAAAAAAAAAAACGAATTGACTAAATTAGACTATATTATTAATTTAGTTTTAGTCTTTTTCATTAATTAACAACTATTTTGGAATAAGTGTGAATGCACCGACTTTAATAGAAACCGTGTTTAAGGAAATAATAGAACATTATATCACTATTTGAATTGTTAAAAATATGCGATAATACTGTTTTACCTTTCACTTTTTCCCTTTTTTCATTCTTCAAATCTGATTTTTATTTTTGTTTCACTGAGACAATGTGTATCGTACAGGTTTATATACAAATAAAACTTCTCGCAAAACCATTTCTCGTCGTCAAATATTAAATACTAATATATCTTCATATAAAACACGTATTGATATTTTCGCCGTTGATACAAAAACACATCCTGTTTAAAAACAATCAGGAAAATCATATAAATGACTGGTACCACCTGTACTAGGAATATTCCTGATGTTAAGTATTGAGGTGTGTTGGTAAACTTTTGATTTATTTCAAATTATTTGGCATCGACTCGTGATATATTGTCCTACTAACAAGAAAAACCATTTCTTATATTTTTTCTTTTTGATGCCTTAATTTTCCCTGCTTCTAAATAAGATAAGAGCAAGTTCACTTTGGCACTTCTTATGTTCCGTAGTAGTACATTGGCTAGTAAGTTACCAGCGATAATCTAAATAGACTTATTGGAAATTATAGTCTATTTAAACGTTAATATCATTGGCACGTAATTGAATTTAATGATTTACTCACATTTTTATGATTTATATCCATTATGTCAATCAGCCTATACGCATTTTCTTTTGATACTTACTTAACAACGTCCTTCGTATTATAATTGTCATTGTCAACTTATGAACATCATAATCTTAAAATTTATGACAGTAATCTAAAAATTTTAATTCTCAGATCTCATCTTGACCTTACTAAATTATATCGTTGTGCAGTTGTTGACTAGAAATGCACATTGATTATTATTCATTTTTTACTTTATTTAAAATCTATAGTTCGCAGTAGTTGTTAATGTTTTAATCATTTGTGATTCGTCAATGTTGTCTAGAAAAATGTTATATAATTTGCAGTTATTTATTTAACTGTTGTGTATTGACACCTATTTAATTGCGTATTAAATTTCAAGTTTAAAGATATTATAGTTGACCCCTTTTAAACACTATTTTGCACATCCATGACCGATATTTGGTATTAATGAAACCATTGTCATTGATGCCTACAGAAATTATCATTCTTGACTTACTTTCCAGTTTGCTACTGAATTATTAATGAAAGAAACAACAACATTCTTAAAACAAGTTCTACAAAATTCTTACGTCTGCGAATAGGTTTGGAATGGCTTTGTGGAGATTATCTTTTATGTATTTTAAGTTTCAGACGACATAAGAGCATTAGAGAATGGCACTTAATGAACAAAATAACAGAAATATATACAAGCTTAATGGTTGATGGTTAATATTACATCATTGGACAACGCAAAATTATTTCACAAAACTGATAGCGGACCATGATGCTAAATGAAACGAAATTTGGTCAATACCTATTGAATCTTCCTCTAGTATGTTCAGAATT